TATTCCCTCTTTCCTCCAGTAGCTGGCAGCAGAGATCAATGAACAGCATAAGTTACGTGTTTCTCCGTTCCCTTTTAAGACAATAATTCTAAGACTTCACCACAAAATTGTTAGCTTCACTTCAGCTCGGTTTCACCCAGGCTGTTGGGGGTGGGGAGATTGTTTCAATAGTAATAATAATATTTTAATATTGTTACTAATAATATTCTGGTTACTACTTCCATATTTAAAACATTTTAAAGGCTGAGTTCTTAAAGTAATGCCTTAGATCTAGTTGGACTTCACTGTGAAATAGTTTGGTCTGGACAGATATCCTGCCCCTGACATGGAGCTGCTTTGAGGAGACCAGGGCGATTCTGGCCTCCTCAAAGCAGACAGTGGCTCAGTGAATTGGCCTCAGAACATTACACCATCAAACCCTCTGAAGGCTATTTACCGATCACCCCCTGCATAGAAAGAGAACACGAGAACGAATGTCAAGAGAGAAAAAGTAGGGCTGCCGTATAGCAGAGTGCTTAAGGTCTATGTGGAGAAACCCAGATCCCACATGGCCCAAGGTGGTTTGAATCCCATTTTGGTGGCTCAAAAAACATGTTAGGTGTGTGTGCGTGTGCATTCATGCCCAAGACCCTAACGGGATGGAGAAAAAGGACTGTGGGGTTATCAGGGCCCCTTGGGAGTATATGCTCTCTCTCTGTCTCTCTCTCTCTTGCTCTGGTTTATACATGAGCCCTCTGTCATTAAAACAAACAAACAAAAATCCCGAGCTGCTGGAAGTAATTAGAATTCTTTTTTCTTTTTTGGCCCAGGAAGAAGAAAAAAAAAAAAAAAAGAGAGAGAGAGAGAAATAATCCCAGAGACACACAAGAATTACTAAGAAATAGGAAGTTGAACTCTCAGAGTTTAGGAAGTGATGTGCTTCCATTTTTATTATTTCTTTCTTGAATGTTCATTTTTTTACCCTTTCTCTTTTGATGTGTTACTTATCTATGAAAATTGTACTAATACAGTAGGTTCTTGGATAATACTTAAATTTTCAGGAGAAATCAGGGGTACAAACACCATTTTTGGATCTAGCTAATGCACACAACAATTTTCTGTAATACCTTGGACTGTTTCATCCAATAGCCCAAGGTCGATTTCTAGTCCTGCAAGGCCACTGGTCCACTCAGGGTTTGATTCCCATCTGCCTGAGATTACCCTTTTCCTCCATCCCATTCAAAGCTACTGCTCTCTCAGACTGGATCACCTTAGACAGCTGTTCAGGAGAGAGCAATAGATGACTAAAGTAATTCACAGAAAGGTGAAAGTAATATGATTTTTCTGTAACTTCGTTACCCCAAAATGTGTCTCTATACCAGTGGTTCTCAAACTTTGCTGTAATTAAGCATTGCCTGAAGAGCTTTTAAAACTCTTGATCCCCAGTTTTTAATATTACACTTAGAGCAATTAGATCAGGCTCTCTGGGGGTAGAAACCAGGCATAAATATTTTGTAAACTTCTCATGTGATTCCAATATGCAGCTGAATTTGAGAAGCAGTGTTCTAAGTCAGAACCCCCTAGCCCTTACTGTGTATACAAATCACCCGGGGCTTGCTAAAATGTAGATTATCATAACCAAGACCATGGTTGGGGCCCCAACAGTCTGCATTTTTAACAAACTTCCAGGTGATTTGATTCAAATACTGCTGCTCCAAGGACCATACTCTGAGTGAAGCCAGGAGATAGATGATTGACTAAAACAAAACAAAAAAATTAAATAAATGAGCCCTGCCCCTGCCTCCTTGCAGAAAAAAAAAAGTACAACCTAATCATACTGCTCCTAAAAACCTCTCAAAATACAATCATGTCCTCTTTCTTCAATACAAGTAATAATAATAGTCAGTTGGAAGGGTGGGCATTTGATATTTAAGGATTGGTACAGATGCTTTTTCATTGATCTTTATTATGCCTGTAAGGTAATAAGTAAAAACTAGGCATAAAACACATCCAACAGCCAATGGTCAAAATCTGAGACTTACAGTTTTGAAGAGAACCATGTGGCCTCTTTCAGGCCCACTGAAAAGAAAGTCTATCATGTCCTATTTCAGGGTAGAGAGTACACTACAAAATAATGGAAGCTCTATCCAGAATACTCACTGCTTTGTCTCCAAGAGCTGACTTCAGGCTTATCCTCACTTTGATGCTTTCGTCAGTATCTGATTAAAAAGAAATTGCACACTGCTGGTTATAAATGACAGGCTGATCATATGTATTTATTTTCTTCCCCTCCCAAGATCCCACTAAAGTGATAGCAAAGGAATGTTTCGAGGTATAATACACCTTTGGAAAATGAAAAATTATGGGAGAGGAGTAACTGCTTTTTCAGGGGCTGGAAACCACGCCTAACGTGTACACAGAAGGAGTACAGACCCAGAAAGAGCCAGAGAATCCCAGAGAGGCTTGGGATTCGGGTATAACAGAGAGTGGGAAGAGGACACTGAGATGAAAGCAAGGGGAATGTAAGTCAGGGTGGGTTAATGTCACTTTGGGGAATAGTGGATGCTCCTACGCCATGTGTCCTGGCTTAAGCAGTGACTTGGGAGCTGGGCTCCAGAAAAACAAGAAAGAAGACACAGAATTCAAGAGGCAGTGGATTCAATCAGGAGAACAACAAAGAGATAACTCAGGATGAAAATTATGGTCCAGATTGAGACAGGAGGATAAACAACTTCAGAAGATAAGTCTCAAGAGAAAAAATGAGACTACAAGGATAGGTATGTCAGAATAGTTGAGAGGAAATCAATGAAATGTAGATAGCAAATTAGGTATGCCACAAAACTGAGGCAACTAGAAACACTGGGTCAAACAAAAAGCCACATCACAAAGTAGTTCATTGGTTGGCTCCAGAGCCATCATTATGTAAACGTTGATAATTGCTTTACTAAAACCATGACAAAGTTTTATTGGAAGTGAGAAATGGAAATATAAAAGTAGGCAAAAGTGAAGGTCTAAAACTGACCACTAACAAAAGAACAATATAAACAATTATTTAGAAGTATGAAAATAAGTGCTAGAGGGACCAGCAGTTGGCGTAATGGCTATGTTGCTGGACTCCCATGTAGTCGACCACGGTTCGAGTTTTGGATCTGGTGACTTAAACTCATGCCTGACACGTGTGCATGCGTGCCCAAGATAGAAGAGAATGGAAGAGAAGGGATTGCAGCGTGGCCATCCCCCCTGGGGGGTGATTTCTCACTTTCTATCTTTCTGTCTCTCTGTGTCTTTCTGGTGAGCGCATGTGCCATATAGCAAAAACCTCTCAAAAAATAAGAATTATGAAAATAAGTGCTAGAAAGAAGAGGTAACATAGCATTAAAATTGTTAAATTTTATTTTAATTAAATTTAATTTTTAAAATAAAATTTAATTAAAATTCTTTTTTTTTTGGGGGGGGGGAGAGGTTTTCGCTATAGGGCGCGTGTGCTCGCCAGACAGACAGAGAGAGACATAGAGACAGAAAGCGAGAAATCACCCCCCAGGGGGGATGGTCACGCCGCAATCCCTTCTCCTCCTTTCTCCTCTCGGGATCTTGGGCACGCATGCACACGCGCCCGGCGTGAGATTTAAGCCACTGGGTCCAAGACGCGAACCACGGTCGACTATGTGGGAGTCCAGCGACATAGCCATTACGCTAACTGCTGGTTCCCTTAATTAAAATTCTTATTTGTCTTTCAAGAGTAGGATTCAAGTGAAGTGGGCTGGAGACCATTATACTCTTATTTTAAAGATAGGACTAATAAAACAGATGAGAGACAGAGAGAGAACAATAGCTTTCACTCTGCCTGGAGCATAGTAGGTTCTCAACAGATGTGCCTCCTCCTCCTTAAAAGAGCAGCTGCCACTATAGCAGAAGAGTCAGAACCTGTGGAGGGAAAACAGACTCAACAGTGTCACAGCCCCCATGAGACTGAGGGCCAAAGGAGAGTAGGAGAAGCAGACAAGCTTGGTGCACTCACTTGGCCTCCAGTCGGTTCTCCATCCCACAAAAGAATTCCTGTTCTGGTCTTCCAGCCAAGTTAACAAGGGCTCAAAGTATCGGAGCAGAGGTTTTGCATCCATTTTCCTTGTTTGTACAACCTTTTCCAATGCAAAGGTCCAGGGGCTTGATTTTCCAAGTCTCAACATATCACTACATGAAAAACAGAGGGGGTTCATGGCCTTTCGAGGGATTCCAAATGTACATATATTTATATCTTCAATCTACAAAAAGAGTTTCCTTTCTTTGGCACGGCTAAATTTATTTTTGGCAAATAAGAACATAAGGCATATTAGAAGACATAATCATCCCTTGATCTCTCTTTCTTTCCAACTACTACAAAAGGAACTCTGTAGTTAATGACAGGGAGAGAGGGAGCCGGGGCCCCCTCCCCAGCCATTAAAGGCCATTGCATTGTCTAGATTTCTGTCTGACCATAACTTAAACATTTACTTTGTGCATGAGAACATTTTGAGGCCAAAAACTTTCTTTTAGGAGCAAAGACATTAAAGTCAAACTTAGGCATGGAAAATGAGTAATAACAGATACTAGAAGAGGTTCAACATTTTCACACATTTCTTACAGTAGCTTTTGCCCAGCTGCAGTAGAATTTGAGATGTCACATTTGTGCAGGGGGCCTTCATATTTAGCAGCTTGACAAAGGGCTTCTTGAAACTGGAATTGATAAATGGTCCTTGTATAATAGCTGTATGAAAGACAAAGAAAAAAATGCAGTCCCATATTTAGTTACTGTGGTAAGCTCATGGATTAGAGCAAATAATTAGATTCCTAGGTCCAAATAATCAAAAAGATACTTCTTGCTCTAGAAAGAAACAAACTTGAACTCTACAGGCCCATCATAATCTATTTGCATTTTATGTATCCACTAATAAACAGGTAGGATTACTGTTCAATGTTAGCTCACATTTGTATTGGATCTTACAGATGTAGAACACTTTCATATAAATGATGCCAATCAGTCCTTATCGCAGGTCAATATTATTTCCATTTTACAAACAAAAACACTGAGACCCAGCCAGTTCAAGGTCTGGGGCTAATAGGTGAAGAACATATGTTTTTGGACTTCAAGTCACAAATGCTCTATTATAATACACTGTGAACTTTGCATTGAGAAGACAAACAAAAATACTTATTATTTCTCGTAGATATACTATTGATTTCTTGAAGACAGGGAAAAGATCTCATACAAGTTTTGTTTAACCCAATAAATTGTGTTGCGTTAAACAGAATTGAAATTGACCATCTAGATTGAGTTTTGAAGTGGGGGCAGAGATAGAAAAATTATAGTTGTCATATCATATATCTCTATTTCTTTGTCATAGTTCAGTAGTCCACAAACCCTGGACATAAAACAGAGAAACAAAAACTGTCATTTACCGGATGAATGAATAGTCATTAGCAACATGGAACAGAGATGCAGGGTCACAGTATGTTTCATCATGGGGTATGGGTTCCACCACCCCGACTATCTCTCGCCTTTGGGAAGCAAAATAAAAAGGTACATTAGCTGTGGGTCATCCAACATGAGAAGATAGAGTTGGACACAAAATAGTACAGTTTCATCAGTCAATGGTATTTATATTGAAATTGGTGGTCACGTGAAACAGAAAAACAGTGTAAAACTCAGAATAAAGACTATTATGTGATTATCTCTCACTTTTTAATTCAGTCAGAATACAACATTGAAAAAGAGCCATGTCTTCAAAACTCTAACTTAAAATTCATAGAGTGCATTGTATGCCCACTCCTCCCCCCCGAAAATAAAAAGTTCAGTGAAAGCCCTAGTAATTCCTCTTAGGCACTACATTTTCTGTGCTCTCTGCAGACAGAATTCTGTAAAATTGGAATCTTCACTTATCCAAATCTAGTTCAAACGTCCCCTCTTTTATGATGCCTACCCCTGACCCCACCCACCTTCCAGCTCCTTTAGCCTTCTCTAGCTGTCCCTCCTTTGGCATTTCTCTTCCAATTTTGTAGTCATTTATATACAACTACTTGAGCTTCTAGAAAGTGAGGCTGTCTTGGTCATCGTTAGAGTTCCAGTGTCAAATAGGGGGTGCTTAACACTAAGAAAAGGTTTTACATATATTCGGTAAATGACTAAAAGAACAATTAATACATAAATGAAACACATAAAGAATCTGATTCCTTGTGCCTTTTAAATAAACTAAGAGGGGATCAAAAAATTAATCCAGTCAGAAAAACAAATAGAAAACATGTGTTTAGTATTGTTTGAGTAGAATACATTTATCCTTTATGATCATGGGATAGTTATACATATTGCTTCAGTAATACTCAGACACTAGCAATGGTAATTACAGGGGCTGCCTCCTTCTTCCCAAGTAAGATTTATGTTAACAGAAAATCTTATCAGAAAAAATGGTAGTGATTTAAACTCATGGAGGTAGAACTGAACATTACTAGTGAAATCTTCACTACAAAAAAAGAAAAATAAGAATAACAAAGAAAAAATAATCAACAAGGGTCTGACTAATAGATGGTAGAGAGAAGATAGGTTTCTTCATTCGTTCGTTCCTTCCTTCCTTTCTTCATTCCTCCTCCCTCCCTCCCTAAATCCTATTTCTTTCTTCTTTCTTTTGTCTATCTTTCTCTCTCCCTTTCTTTTGTACTTTTTCCATCCAAAACTCATTTATTTCACATCTGCATGTGCCAGGCATAGCCCAAGGCACTTGGAAGAGTGATGAGTAATGTAGTACTGCAACTATTGAAATGGGTCACTAACAGTTGCCCAACTGTACCAGAGTCTCTGTAACATGGAATTCTGACTGTTCCCCTCTGCACACACCTGGTTAACTCTAACACCTTTCTTGGGGTTCAACTTGGATGTCTCTCCTCATCTAATCCCCCAGTTTAGGCTTTGGATCTCCCTTCAGATGCTCATGGACCCCTGTAGCCTCCTATCACAACACTTTTCCATATCCTGCCATAGACTAAAGGTTCTATAAAGTCGAAGACTACACCCAAAATGAGGAACATTGGATCTCCAGTGTTTTGCCTAAAATGCAGGGTTGCCATTTTTGCTTGAAAGAATGAATAAAAGAATAAATAAATAAATAAATAAAAGAATAAATAAAAGTAATAAAGAATAAAATGAGTAAATTGATCAATTCCTAAATAATATCACAGTTTAACAGTGACATAGTACTTAAGAATATAAAACATGAAATAATGTTGGGACCAGCAGGTGGTGTGGTGGTTAAGGCGCTGGACACTCCCACATGGCCGACCAGGGTTCGAGTCCTGAATCTGGTGGCTTGCTTTCTCGCTTGCTCTCTCTCTCACTCAATGTCTGTCTCTCTCTAGTCAAATTAAAAAAATAAATGAATTAATAAATAAAATAAATATTAAAAAAAAAACATGAAGTAATGTCGCCTGACCCAAAGTAGGGGTTAGAGCCAAGGAAATTTTATCAGAGAAGATTACATGCAAATGGAAATGAAAACAATCTAGAAAGGAGGCAGTTAGTGTGTGTGTGTGTGTGTGTGTGTGTGTGTGTGTGTGTATGTGGTGGTGTGTGATGACACTTTCCTAATCTGCATGTTCTTGTCTATCTTCTTTTACATACTTAGCCCACACCATCAGCTTTCAAGACTTACTATTCGAATCCCAGTTATTCTGACTATAAAGCATTCTCTGAAATCCCCAGTCCTTCTCACTTTACATTTGGTGTTCTTAAAAACAGACCCTGGGACAAGGACCTAGGTAGTGATCCCAGGAAGCACTGGCAAAATTGTGAAGAAGTGAGACAGGAAAAGGAAAGTGACTCAAAGAAAGTGTGTTGCGAAATAAGTTAACCACTGTGAGTAATTGGCGCTCAATTCCCAGTGACGAACCCCAGGGTTCAGTGTAAAGCACCCACCTGAGGACAAGGGAGCAAAGGTATTGATCCACCAACTCCCATCAGTCTTTGGTTGAGGATAAATGAAGGCGATGCTAGTTCCTCAGCCCTTCCTGCCATTTGAGGGTTTAGGGGCCCTTAGGAAGCCCTCAGAAAATAAAATACAGATTGCAGTGTTGTGTATGTGAGTGTATGCACCCATGCATGTTTATATATACAGGTCAGTCGTGAGAAAACATTTCACTGATTCACTTACTTCATCTCCCACCACTTTTCCATCCACTGCTCTTTGGGAATTTCACCCTTAAACACCATCCACCTCCATTTCTCTAACATGTAAGTAAATGGCAGGGTTCCAACAATCGTGAGTGCTTGCTTGAATAGGAAGTTTATTTCTGTTTCTGAAAGTAAAATGGAAAAGGATTCATATTAAGAAGTTGTGTTAAAGAGAAGTTTCAGAATCTCAAGATATTATTCTCTAAAATATACTATAAGGAAGATTACATATTGACAGCAGACATAATAATATGTGTGTGTTCACTTTCTCAGCTAAGGGATTTGGAGTAGGGTGAAGCCCTGGAATGGAACAGGTAAATAAAATGCTACACGTTACAGCCTATCCTCATTTCATTAGTTTCAATTGCTTTCTTTTAATACCTCTTATTAGAGTTAATTAGGGCTATTTCATCTACTTTCCTAGTCATACCATTTATTCCTAAAAGCTCCACGAGGGCCGTGACTGTGCATGTCTCAATTAAGACTGTATGACTAGCCCAGTGTCTTTTACATGGTGCCCTTTGTGAGTCTTTTTGAATAAATAAATATTAAGCAGATGTGGTGAAAAAACAGTAAATCAGTGAGCAGGAGGAAAATCAAGGGTTCCCCTGCCCTGAGAGGGCACTCTCCACTGGAAAATTAATAGTTCAATGTACTTTTAAAATACTGTTATCTTCTTTTAAAGGCTTTAAGAAATTGTTATTTCTTTTTATCTTTGATTAGTGATACAAAGAGTCAGTAGAGCTCATCTCTAGTGTACAAAGGACGTTTGCAGGGAATGAATGGGCTCCATGGCCCAGACACAATACATTGCTCAAAAGAAGCCCGGTCCTACATGGCAGTCACAGTTCGAATCCCAGTCCAATCTGCCTGAAACACACCAGGGACACACACCACTGCCCAAGATCTGATGCAATGTGGAGTGTTTTTCTCTCTCTCTCTCTCTCTGTTTCTCTCTCTTCCTTTCTCTTTCTTTCATGCATGTGCCCAGGCTATATCATGAATTTTTAAACATGTAGAAAACACATTTAAACAGGGGGATGTTATCTACTTTATGCATCACTGTAGCTCTAGTGTCTAGAAAAAAATCTTCCACATGGGATGTTTGGAAGATAAAAGAAGTACATGTTTGGAAGAAAAAAGGAAGAGAAAGAAGAAAGGAAGGAGAGAAGGAATGAAGGAATTTGTTTAATGTCATTCACAAATCAGTGTCAGAACCAAGGAAAGAAGCAAGAGTTTTTCAAATTAGTAGTTAACGATGTCTAATACCATCTTGTTTGTTTGTTTATTAAGGCTTTTGTCATAAGACATGTGCACTTGCTGAAGAGAGACAGAAACAGAGAGGGAAAGTGAAAAATCACCCCCCCAAGGAGGATGGCCATGCCGCAATTCCTTCTCCTCCATTCAACTCTTGGGATTTTGGGCATGCACACACATGCTCGGTGTGAGTTTTCAAGCTGCTGGATTCAGGACTCGAACCATGGCCCACCATGTGGGAGTCTGGCACCTTAACCACAAGGCCACCCACTGGCCTTGTCTAATACCACTTTAAGAAATGCAGTGAGGGACCAGCAGATGGCATAACAGTTACGTTGCTGGATTCCCACGTAGCTGACCACAGTTTGAGTCCTGGACCTGGCAGCTTAAAAACACACCGGGCACGTTTGTGTGTGTCCAAGATCCCAAGAGAAGACTGGAGGAGAAGGGACTGTGGTATGACCATCCTCCCTGGGGAGTGATTTCTCACTTTCTACCTCTCTGTCTCTGTCTCTCTGGCGAGCAAATGTGTCCTATATCAAAAATCTATAAAAAAAGAAAAGAAAAGAAAAGAAAGAAAGAAAGAAAGAAAGAAAGAAAGAAAGAAAGAAAGAAAGAAAGGAAAAGAAACACAGTGACTTTGGGCCAGTAGATGATACAGCAGTTATGTAACTGGACTCCCACATGGCTGACCGTGGTTCAAGTCCCAGAACTGGTGATTTGGGGGGGGAGGGGTGATTTCTCACTTTCTCTCTCTCTTTCTCTCTTTCTCTCTCTCTCTCCAGTGAGTACACACACCCTAAGGCAAAAACTACTTAAAAAAAAAAAAGAAACACAGTGATTCGACCATTTTGCCTGCTGTTAGAGAATATTAAAAATAATAGAACAAGTACTTGTCTTTTCATTGACTTGAACATGATATACTAAAATTAGGAAGCAGGAGTGGTTACCATTAACTCCCTTTCCTTTGTTGCTCTCTTCATGGGAGGATGACAATACTGGTCTATAATGCACTGGGTCTGTGCTTACAATAATTACTTCAGACACAATGATGACTTTATACAGGCCTACTTCTAGGCCTTCATGAGGTCACCAAGGATCTGGAACCAGGGATCAAGGCAAAATGAATTGCCCATCCAAGGATGGAGCTCGTGACCTTGACCTCACTGAAAAAAAAAAATCAGCCAGTGGAGTAGATCTGTATATAACAAATAGCTAAGATGAGGGGGAAAAATATATGAAAAAGGAGAAGGGATTCAGTTCTAATTGTCCTCTTTTTATAAAGAAGAATGAGAAGTCATGAAATCCTCACTGAAGAATCTGGGTCTCCTGAATGTGTGTCATGTTTCATCAAGTCCAAGTCATACAGAGAGAAATGGGTTGCCTCAGGCAAAGATGCTGAAGGAAGCCATGAATTTGAGAGGCGCTACAAGGGAAAGTCATACTTTGGCTAGATGAACAAAATGTTTTAGTCCCTTCCAATCTTGACATTCCATCATCTGTTCTTTAAAAGCTCCTAAATTTCAAGTTAAACTTTGCTTTGCATAATATTATGGAAAAGGCTTTAGATTAGGGGTTGGGTTGGTTCTGCCACTAAGTTACTTTTTGACCTTGACTAGTTACCTTCCCTCTCTCATTGTCAACTTGCTACTCCATAAAATGGTCTTTAGAATCTGTTGCAGCAGCAATACTTTGGGAAGTTTTTATATAGAACCAGAGGGATCTAGTCAGAACCCTGATACTAATTAGCTGAGTGACCGTGGACAAGCATTTGAATTCTGTGAGACCGCTTCAGCATCTTTAGGAAAACAACCCAGACTTCGGTTTGGTATTTCTTAAGGTCCCAAGACCCTTCATTCAGGTGTCTTACTCCCTTTTCAAAAATACAAACCACAATTTGGCATGTTTGAAATGTCCTTTTGCAAGTAATAATTTCCGGTTACCCATAAGTACCTTACATCTGTTTGACAAAACATAAATATTTCCTTTGCATGATAATAAATACCTTTTCCCATATTAGACTAAGATATGACAGACTAAGACCAAAAAAAGCCATGAAAAATATCCATACCACTGTCTTCAAGAAAATCTGGTGGCAGAAGACCGATAGATTTCAGATGTGTAGGGGTAGCTGCAGATAGTGACATGATTTCCCCGACAGCTTCGTGGAAACCTTCATTAGCTCCATTTCTCAGCAAGAAAGGTTGTGTGGCATATGCCATGTCATACTGGATATGTCCCATCTCATGATGTGCTGTCAGGAAGTCAGACATTGTCACCTTCGTGCACATCTTGATCCTGCACACAAAGGGCAAGATTAATATTGGCCCAGCTTCAGTGGTGCAGGTGGCAGTGTAGTGAAATGCAGTGTGGGAAACCATAAGTCTGACTGAGGGTGTGGAACATACGCAGGCACGTACATGCCCAAGATCTTGCCTAGTTGGAGGGCAAGGAGACAGGGACTGCGGTGTGATAAGACCCTGTTGAGGGTGCCTCTTGCTCTCTTTCTTTCTCATGAGAGAAAGAAAATTAATAAAACTATTTTTTGGTAATTTGACAGAGCAAGCATGTGCTCCCCAGAGAGAGAGGGAAAGTGAAAAAGCATCCTCCCAGGGTAGATGACCATCCTTCTCCTCCATTCTCTTCTTGGGATTTGGGGTATGCATGCACACACGCTTGATGTGTTTCTCAAGCCACTGGGTCCAGGACTCAAACCACACAATTGGCCACGTGGGATTTAACCGCTTTAGCCACCTCACCACTGGCTGGACCCAAATAAAACTTTAAAAAATTAAATTAATCCCACTGGATTTTATTAATCATTACAGTAGTGTCATAAGGAGTTTTGGTACTAGAATCATCTTTCTAAGATTTACTCACCGATGATTCTTGAGCACCTACCCCTTATATCCTAGATTCCTAAATTAACTTTCCTACCACTCTGATCATGTTACTCCTCTGATAAATACAATTTAAGGACTCCTCACTACTCAAGAAAAAACTTAGCCTCATTTATACACCCCAACATGACACCAACTTGCTTTCTGACTTGGTTTTTCTCTACACTTTTCTGAAATAATTATAAGACTAGCTATTATATATTTTCTGTCTACTGTATATAAGATTTTATATTAGGAAAGTTATATATATTATATATATATATATTTCATTTTTTAGCCTCATTTTTAATACTGGGTTAAGCAAATTATGGCCTGCTCTGCTGGCCACCTGTTTTCGTTTTTTAGAGAGAGATTTTTGCTATAGGGTGCATGCACTCACCAGAGAGACAGAGAGGCAGAAAGCAAGAAATCACCCCCCAGCGGGGAGGGCCATCCCCCAATCTCTCTCCTCCATTTTCCTCTCAGGATTTTGGACATGTATGCACAGGCACCCAGCATGAGTTTTAAGCTACTGGGTCCAGGACTCGAGCTGCAGTCAACTACATGGGAGTCCAGCAATGTAACCATTATGCCACCTGCTGGTCCTGGCAACCTGTTTTTATATATAAAGTTTTATTGAAATGCAGCCACTCCTACTTAACAGTCTATGGCTTCTTGCATGCCACAGGACAGAGAGTTTAGTAGTTGCAACAAACAGAGCTGCAAAGTCTTAATTATTTACTATCTGGCTGTTTACAGAAAAGTATTTCTGACTCCTGTTCTGGTGGATGCTGGTGAGACTCTGCTCAGACTTCCTTTATCAGACAGATCTACCCAGCCCACAGCTGCCTATGTAATAGCTGATAAGGACCAACAGCTACCTTCTTGTTCATGCTTCGGCCAAATGGAAAGTACTTCAACCAGAAGGTTCTATCTCCCCACACTCTGGGTCAGCCCATAGCCAGTGACTGACTAATATAGGGCTACAAAAGGCCAGTCTTCTTGTCTTGAAGTAGGACCAAAATCATGCTCCAGAGAACTTTATGGGGTCAGGCTGAGGCCAAATCTCCAGCAGAGATCACATCATTACTTCCTTCCTTCTCTGTCTTAGCCTGCTTCCCTCACTCCCCTTTGTCTGAAAATTCTCCCTCAATGAAGCACTTGTACAGGAATCTCCATTTCAAGCTAGGGAGCCCAACCTAAGACACTCCAAACCTGCAACCTAGGAATTACTACTCTACTTTATAGATAAGGAAACTGAAATCCGGGAAGGTTAAATAGCTTGTCCAAGGTTGCTTAATCATTAAGTGACGCACCTAAGATTCCAAAACCTATGCTCACTCTGCCACATCACAGAGACATTTCTTATTCCTAGCTAACCTGTTGATTCAAGTACACATGCCAAGACCTGCCTCTCTGCCTTTGATCCGCCTATTCTCCCAGCTAGGTGTCCTCCTCCCAGCTCCATCCAGAACCTTCCTGGTTTTGCCACCTGCAAAGCCCTGTCTAAGCCTACCTTCTATTCCAGGTGTGGTCAGTTCTCTTTAGTTTCCCATTACATATTCCCTATAGCTTTCTTATGGCACATATCATTTCTTCCCTTTTATCCCAGGTTACTCATCCCATCCACCCATCTTGTCTCACTTACACAAGGGAGACATGGAGGGGAAGATCAGTGCCTGCTTTGCATGTTTATTGGCCATCATCCTCATGTCCATGCTATTCTAATGGGTGCATAATACTGTGGATTGTCTAAAGGTCAAGCTATGGCCTGCCAATAATCTTCTTTTTTCTAAGAAAGCCCAGATGTGCTCTCGTGGACTCCCAACCTTAGTTCAAGAAACATTAACTCATCTCTTCTATGCTGAGAGATGCAGAGAAGAAATCTAACTTCAACTTTCCTCTGTCTCCATTGTTTCCCATTTAGTACTAGTTGTGTAAGTATCAGTCCCACTACCTGAAGTCGTTCTTCCCCAGGTCCCAAGCTGTGGGGTGACAGACCACTTTTCGGCCATCTCCTGGCTCAGTTAGCATGGACTTATCCCAGAATTCTTGAGTCATATTAAAAAGGCCAACAGACACAAAGAACTTCTCGGCCTCCTGAAATATCCTCTTTGCATCCCAAGACTGGAAAAAAAAAAAAAGAAAGAAAGAAAAAAAAAAAGAACAACCTTTAATTCCAGCATTAGAATAAAAGCATTCTTACGTGAACTAAGCCAGCCACAGAAAGACAAATATCACCTGTTCTATGTGAAATCTAAAACAATCAAATTCATAGAAGTAGAGAACAGAATAGGGGTTTTACAGAGGCTGGGGGTTGAGGGGGTGTAGAAAGATAGTATTCAAAGGATACAAAGTCTTGGACCTGAAGAATAAGCTTGTTTTTAAAATCTATTGCACAACATGCTGAATACAGTTAATAATAGTGTATTGTACATTTCAAGATTGCCAAATAGTCTCACCACATAAAATTATATATATATATATATATATATATATATATGCATAATCTTTCTGAAAGGCAATTTGGGAACTGGTATAGACAGTTTTGAAATCTTTACAAGTTTTGTCTTAGTATTCCTGTCTCTAAGGAAGTAGTCTAAGAAATTATAAGAAATTTGGGACCAGGAGATGGCATAATGGTTATGTCACTGGACTCCCATGTAGTTGACCATGGTTCAAGTCCTGAACCCAGTGACTTAAACTCATTCTGGGTACGTGTGTACACAAAATCCTGAGATGAAACTGGAGGTGAACGGATTGTGGTGTGGCCATCCCCCTGGGGCATGATTTCTTGCTTTCTGTCCCTCTGTCTCTCTCTGTATCTCTAGTGAGTACACTTGCCCTATAGCAAAAATCTCTCAAAAAGAGAAAAAAATTAAATTTAAAAATTACATACAGAATGATTTTTAATATGGAAAGAAGAGGAAATAACCATCAGAATGGCTAAATAAATAATGATACCTTTGTAGAATGAAAAATTTTACAGTCACTCAAATTATATTTACAAAGAATTATATTGATATTTTAAAATACAATTTAATAGTAAAAGAAAAAGTAGGATCTATGAACCACTTAAATGGTATAATCTTAATGAGGAACTACATGAAAATGTTAACAGTAAACTGGGTGAGATTGTATGTAATGTTTTTCGTCTTTATTGTTTATATTCCAAGTGCAAACATAAATAACAACGACCTACTGTTTGTTAAAGACTATTCAACTCAAACCAGCATTTATTGATTGAATTCCTTCAAGGGGCAAGGCCCTGTATGGCCTCACTGGAAGACACGGACAGTGAGTTGACATGAAAGTATAGGCTTTTGGAATCCAAAAGGCCAGGCGTGGCCCAGGAAACAATGGGTAGTTGGGCCTTGACTTCCCGATCTAAACTTTCAGGATGTTCTGAAACTGGCAATAGACATCTGCCACTCAGCAAACTCTTCTGGAAACCAGTGTCCTGCATCTAACAAAACCTGCTTGGGAGATAAGGCCCATATCAGATAAGCTAAGTTTGCTTAATTGGCAGATAGCTCAGGAATCACTTTTAGTAACATAGAAATCTTCCTGAGATCACAAATATCACAAAGACCAGTTAAGTCTGTTTTGTTCTCCCAAATCAACCCTGGAAATTAAAAACAGGATATAAAGCTACTGATCCCCCCCCCACTCCGTTTAAAGCCTAATGCCTAGTGGTCGGTATTGATGAGTATGGCTATTTTTTTGGGGGGGAGAGATTTTTGCTATAGGGAGTGTGCACTCACCAGAGAGACAAAAAGCGAGAAATCACCCTTCAGGGGGTATGGCCACACCACAATCCCTTCTCCTCAATTCTCTTCTTGGGGTCTTGGGCACACATGCACACATGCCCAGAATGAGTTTTAAGTTGCTGGGTCTGGGATTCAAACCAGCTACGTAACCATTATGCCATCTGCTGGTCACATCACACTAATGAGTTTTTAAATATGCAATAATCTTCTAATGATATTCTTGTTTTTACTATTAATACAGATTATTGACTGCTTAACAAGGACTAATTTTGGAAACAGTGATGCCAACCAGTTGATAATTCCACATCCTCCTACTTAATGGACAACTCAAGTCATCTCCATTTTGAATATCTCTAACCAAGGCCAGTAGCATACCTTGTCATTCAAAGTACTTGTAGTTACTGCCATTGCAAATTACCTTTTCATGAAAACAGAGCTACATTTAAATTACATTAAAATACATTTAAATTACCTTTAAAAGTTTGTATTTATTTTGTTGGTTTTACATATGAACGAGAAGAACAGAAAGGAGATGGGTGACATAAAAACAAATGAAGTTGAGAATTTAGTTTTTAATACCCCTTGTTCCTACCTGACTTATCATTGCGTTGGTAACATCTATGTTTGGTTTCTGTCCAAAAGGAACTGTCAAAGGGTAGAGATTTGTCCAAAATCTACCCCACATGTCACCTAGTTTGAAAAAAAAAATCTGTTAATATATGATAAAGACAGCAGAAATATAAGCATGAGATTTAATCCAGTGTCTGTGCTTTTCTTTCTCTATCTCTTTCCCCCTTTCCCCCTAGCCTTATTTTAAATTTCCAATACTTCTTTCTTCTGTCTCCTCTAAAAAATTTAAATGGCAGGAGACTATGTGGTTAGGCAAAGCCTATTAGGGAATCATCTGAATTTCTCTCATCTTGAATTATAATTCAAAGGCACGATTTATTAAATATATGAAACATCATAGCTACTATAGATTAGCAATAAATTTACATAATGCACCAACCATGGGACAAAATCAAACTAATTAAGCTATTAGTAATGCCTAGTATTGGATTAAAAAGAGAATTTATAAGCCAGTAGGTGTCATGGTGATTAAGGTGCTGGACTCCCACATAGATGACCACAATTCAACCCAGACCTGGCAGATTGCTCTTTCACTTTCCCTCTCTCTCTTTCACTCCATCTCTCTCTGGTGAGAGCATGTGGCACTATAGCAAATTTTAAAAGAATAATAATAAATGAAATTCAATAAATGCTATTTTTAAATGTTTTTAAAATCAGAGCTCTTATTATCATTCAGGAATGTCTACTAACTAGTAATTAAGTTTCACTTTTCTTATTGCAGTAATATTCTTTACCAGGGGACTTTTCAAATAATTTTTAAGTTGGATTCCAAGGCCAGAGACCTTGAAAGGGAAGATAGATCTAGAAAAAGTTCATCTAATTTCAAGACAAGAATCCTGGAGCCAAAAATATGAGACAACACGACTACATGAAGAGTACATCTGTGAACTCTTTTTTTCAAAGATAAAATTTAGTTAAGATAAATGTGAAGCCCAGTGCTTATTACATTTTAAAGTAAAACCTATCCACTGTAGGTCTTTTACATGTGGAAACACAGCTCCACATGTAAAAGACAAAAAAGTGACCCAACACTACAAATGACCCAACATTAGAAGTGTGGCGTAACTTTTGAAACACAAATGTGACTTTAAGCTAAATTGATAGAATTATAATTCTAGAACAAAGTCAAGCATATTTTTTTCTCTCTGTTGGTCTAACCACACCTAGCATTCAGTTATGAGTATGATAATTAAAGAGGGACACTGACAAAGTATAGCTCATCCAAAGGAGAACAATTAGAAAACTGAGATTTTAAGGAATGGTTGAAAATCTGTGTATGATGATTAACTTGAAAAAAATAAAACCATGTATACATGATGATAATAATAATAGCCACAAAAATGTTTTGAGTGCATACTCTTGTGCCAGGTACTATGCTGTGTCTTATATGATGGTGGTTTACAAATATCTGAAAGGTCATCCTATAAAATAAGAATTGACATTCTGGATAACCTCATGGAATGGAATCAGAAGCCATTATTGCTAGGCATTAGAGTAATGTTGACTGCAGTCCACATAAGGTAGAACTTTTTTATAATTGGTGCCATACAGCAATAGATTAGTTTACCTTAGAAGGAAAAAAAAAAAAAAAAGCACCATCAGACAAGTTTAAGAAGAAACTGAACTACTGAGTAATGTTTCTCAAGGATATTGTAGAGAGTATTTCTATATTACTTTAGGATTTAGTATCTCCACAGGAGACCAGCCAGGTGGTGTGGTGTTTAAGATGGCTGGATCCCACATGGCCAAGTGAGCAGTTTAAGTCCCAGACCTAGTGGCTTGAAAAACACATGAGGCACATGTGCATTTATGCCCAAAATCCTGAGAGGAGAATAGTGAAGAAAGGATTGCTGCATGGTCATCTGCCCCCCACCCCCCACCAGGGGAGGGTGCTTTCTCACTTTCTCTTTCTCTCTCTCTCTCTCTGCCTCCAGTGAGTTCACACATCCTATAGCAAATTGAAAGAGAAAGAAAGAGAAAAATAAAGAAAGAAGAAGAGAAAGGAGGAAGGAAAGAAAGAAAGAAAGAAAGAAGAAAGAAAGAAAGAAAGAAAGAAAGAAAGAAAGAAAGAAAGAAAGAAAGAAAGAAAGAACAAAGAAAGTCTCCACA